TGAAACTGCTTTTGTTTATGTTTAAAGATCTTGTAGTTTAATGAAGACATATTTCAAAATGAAATTAGACTCCAATTTGTTATCAAATAGTTCTTCTTGAACCTTAAGTTTTCTATATATAGTCACTTTTATAATTTTCCTAATCACTTTATTGACTTCCATCTCTAATAATTCTTCTAAAGAACACTCAACCTTAAGTTTTCTATATACATGATTAGGCACTTTTATAATTTTCCTAATCACTTTAATTACTTCCATCTCGAATTACTGTATTAATAATAAAAATGTTCCACAGACAAATGTCAAGTCCCACTGAGTTTTTCAGTGCTCAGTTTTTTTATGATCTCAATTTTATGGCCACCTTATTTGGCCCCAGACGAAGGTGATTCATTGAGAATTTCTTTGATATCTTGGCGTTCAAATGTGGCAGCTTTTGATGCTGGCTGTCATATTCGATGTGTCAGATATTATATATATTTTCCAGGAGTTAACTCTATGCGCAGCCCTCGTTCCTGAGGGGGTTGGTAATTGCAATACGCATTCGAATTTGAATTTGAGAGTTGAGAGTTGAATTTGAATAACGGTTACATGACCAAATTATAACTGTAATTGCGCGAGCGTCGCCTGCGCTTGCGGCATGTAGTACGTGTTGTTGTTGTTGTTGTTGTTGCATCTTTTATCAATGCATTAAGTGCCGCCGCGCACTCATTATGAGGGCCTCCCCCCACCGCACGCCGCGGCGGCCCTCGCGCCGAGAAGAACAACAAAAATATACAACAACAACAACAACAACAACAACAAAATATATATGCAGCAGCGAAATCATAAAATGAAACAAAAAATAAATAAAATCCAGAAAGAACAGACATCTTCAGGTCGCCGAAGACTGCATACCCTTACAAATATATATATATATATATTTTTCAAAATTATTTTAGTAAATTTTTTCAAAATCTTTTTATTTAAAATCTGCCCGTTTTTAAGGCAATAATAAAATTTCTTAATTTTATGTCTAATTAGTTTAGTGAAGAGGAAGCAAAGAGGGGGGAGGGCTGGGCTAGACATCTACCCTTCGGGATAGCTCAAGCACATGTAATAACACAAATTTGGTTCAATCCACACAGTGAGGTGGATTTTCCGAAATGTGTGAAACATGCCTCCAATAAAATGTGACAAAGATCTACAAAAATGTTCTACATTTCCATCTGCCAGCTTCTGTTTTGGCCGCATTAAAAAATGCGAATCTATGCCTAGTTTCCAGATTAACTTCAAACAGACCGACAAACTGTATACTCTTCTCTTTTCGCTCAATTCAAAATACGCATGCTTGGGAGTTCGAAGATCAGCTCATTTCATGCTCTACAAATTTCGAGAAAAAACTCAAATACCCTTGGCAAGTGTATATATATAACTAAAAAAAAAACAACAAAAATAAAAAACAACAAAAATAAATAAAAATGGAAAATACACGCTGGCGTTCAAAAGGGCACGCTTTTCATAATAAACATTAGCGCGGCGACAGAGCGTCAGCCTGTCAGTCGGACGAACGGACGGACGGACGAAGCGATCGGTGCGACTCTGCCTCCTACTCCGCCTACTCTTGGCCTGTTGTAGTTCGCCCTCCCTACCGTCGCCGCTCGCCCCTCGCCCCCAGCTGGTTCTCATGGTTCGCTGGCGTCCGTTCAGCACTTTTGTTTGTTTGTTTGTGAATTGGTCGTCTTTAGTTACACTTGAATACGTTTTGTGTGTCCGACTCTGTGTGTGTGTGTGTGTGTGTGTGTGCATGTGTTAGTGTGTGGGTTATGGCAGTTGCCCGGCAGTCGCATTCGCACTGCACTTCACCCACTTCGCTTGCACTTTGGCGTGCGCTTAAAAATAGAATTGCATACTTAGCGGCGCAGGAAGCGGCCGCTGTCAACGGCTTTGAGACCCCCCTCCCCCCTTCCCCAACAATCTACACTCAGAGAAAGTTTGCTCAAAAAAGTAAAGTTTAAAGAAATAGTATTCATTGGTTCCTCAAATTTTGCAAACATTTCAAATATTTTATAATTAAATATGAGTCTAGTTTCCAAAATTGACAAAAACATCTTTTAAAAAAAGGACTTCAATTAAGCATAAAAATACTTGAAATAAAAAGATGCCCACAAGACATTTCGTTCTTTAAAGTTATTTTCATTAAATATGAATCAAACTAGTTTTTAAACAAAAATATAAAATACTTATTAATTAATACAAAAATATTTAAGAAAAATGTCTACAATTAACTACAAAATACTTTTAATAAGAAGTTGCCTGCTTAAACTTAGCCTTAAGGTGCTCAATGATAGTGCAACATTTCTTAGATTAAGTGTTGTTTTTTACAGGACTGAAAATATTTCTTGAATTATGAATTCTAATAACAAGTTTGAAAGAATCGAATTCGATTTGTTCTGAAAATTTTAAAAACTACTGAAATATTTAATAAAAAGGACTTCAATTGAGTATGAAATCAATTTGAATAGCATAGACATAGGAATAGGATAGGATGACTTAGGATCTTGCTCTTTTTAAGCTCTTAAAATCTGAAATCAATTTGCGACTTGACATTTGACATTTGTGCAATGTTTTTCGCCGAGTGCACAGCTCGGTTGCCTTTTGTCTTGGCCACAAAACTTGCTGTTCCAAGTCCAGGCTGTGGGGCGTCTTATTATAGCTAAGCATGTTGGCTACTTACGCGTTGTTGTTGTCTTTGTTGTTGTTGTTGTTGTTGTTGTTGTTGTTGTTGCTATTTGTTGTCTGCTGCAGTGCGGCAGCGTTGGGCGTGGATGTCAGCAGTGGCTGCTTATGAGTAAACATGTATCCAGTTACAATGTTGTATGCAAGTGTCCTGCGTATCCTTTTTGAAAGGCCTGCCCGAATTGTCCCTCTCTCTCAGCGTGCAAGTGTGTGTGTTTGCTTGGGACATCTGTAACCTTATCGCCTATACACTTTAGTCTCAGTTTTATACACTCGTATATTCGTTTCTTTTTTTTGTTCGCGCTGCGTATCCTGCTTCAATATTTCATATAGTTGCCGCCAGCTGCCTATGTGTGTGTCGTTTTATACACATACACATTTATCTATATACATATTATGCATTAAATTGAACACTTCACATAGTTGTTGCCCGTGGTGCCGCGCACACACACACACACACACACACGCGCTAACAACGCGCGCACGCACACCGTTTCAAATATCCTGCTGGTGCTCTCACAATATCAACATGATAACGGCAACAACAACAACAGCTCAGCATTGCGGCATTGTTATTGTTATTGTTATTGCTGTCGTTGCTGTCGGCAGCGCGACACACACACAAAGACGCAGGCACAGTTACGGCGCGTATTTGGTTCCCGCATAAAACAGTTCGATCTCTTCACGTTTTCGATCTCACGTTCTTTTTCTTACGGTATTTGGCGCGTCGCTGCGTCCGTTTGCTTTGACGTTACGAATCGGAATGAAGTTGCGCTGCTCACTTGTGGCACACCGACAGCAGCAGCAGCAGCAGCCACCACAACGTAACGCGCGCACTCTCTCTCTCTCTCGCACTCTCGTGCGCTCTTTACGTAGCGCTCTCAGCGCTCAGACGTGCAGTTGGCGCAGGCAGCGGCAGCGCCAGCAGCAACAGCAGCAGCATCCCCAGTAACAGCAGCACGTTCTGTTAATGTTGTTGTTGTTATTCTTGTTGGAGCTGGCATATGTGCAGGAAGTGGAAGTGGGGAAGAGCACACGCAGCTCTGTTGCCGTTGCTCTCCCATCGCACTCTTTGGCATTGCTATTTTGTATCTTTTCGCCCGTTTTCCTGTTTCTCCCTATGTTTCTAATTTTACACACGAAATTCCAGAGATGCTTTCATATTTTCGTTTGATGATTTATTGACTGCAGCGGCAATTAAAGGCCTTTTATTTCACTTTTTATCAACTGCATTTCATTGACATTGACGACGAGGGCGCTGCTGCTTGTGTGTTTTATTTATATTTTTGTTGTGCGCGCACCCACAAACGCACACGCACACACACACACACCTACGCCTACAACAGGAGACTTTTTGTCTGCCTTTTCAAGTTTTGGCTTTAACAAATTTTGTTAGCGGCTTTCAGGTTGTCCAAAATGTTGACATTTACTTTGCGAATTGTTATTAATATTCTTTAAATTGTTTAATAACGTTTTTCTTTATGCTTAACACGTTTTTTTTGCTGTTGTTCAAGGAGCGCATTCCAATGCCATCCGTCAGCAGCAGCGACTCCAATCAGAACCTGCTCCTGAAGTTTGCAGCATCCAACTGATACGACACAGAGCCTGCACAGCGTCATCTAGCGGCAGGGCTGGGCAAATACGGTGTCATAGCTGATAGCTTTTTGTGTCGTGCGTTCCGATATTTCGATATGTTTTGTGGCGGTAGTCGATATAGTCGTTAAGTGGGTAAATTTATTGTGGGCACATTTCGTTAAATGTGGCCTGTCGTTAAGTGCGTCACTTAGTGCGTTCATTTAGTTGAGACTTCTACTAACTGTAGCGCAGACAACAACCGCAAACAGTGCTTATCAAAGGCTAAACGCACACTCAAACTGTGCTGTTAATTTTTTATTTAACATTTGAAATACTTTTTCGAGCTAATTTATAAAAACAAAATGGCCGAAGCCCTTTTAAATGGGAGACAATAGTTTTTCCACCTATTTTCCGACTTTCCGCATAAGTGAAATACGCTATCTTTCTTTTTTCATAACGGATTTCCAAATTTGAACTGTTTTTTTCCCACAAAACCTTTGCAAATGCATTTTCCACAAATTGTGGTGGATTAACCGAAAAGTGTGAAACATGTCTCCAATTAAATGTATCAAGATCTTTCCGAATAAAATACTCGGCCGCTTCTTGCTCTCCAATTCCAGTAAAAAGTCATAAAATTTAACATCCAAGACACAAAAAACATATACCGTATATTTGATTTAAATTACATAAAAACTTAAGACACGAATTAACTAATTCTTATACATGTCGCAGAGCACCTTCTCCATGGGCGTGTTCCCAATGGTGCGCTGAAAGAAGATCGACTCGATCTTGTGCGAGTTGATCATCCGGAGCAGCGGCAGCATCAACAGCAGCCGCCCAAAGCGTGCGATTTGCGCCGTGAACTGTGTCTTCGTGTGCTGCGAGAGCATCACCTGGTCGAAAAAAGGGGAAAGCCATTAATGCGGAACAGAAAAGGGGAAATCGCGTTGTGGATCTCACATGCGCCTGATCCTGCAGGTTCTCGATTTGCGCCGGATCCTTGAGGCCGCGCGTTTCGGGTCGGAAGAGCACAATCGCCTTGAGGCACGCAAATTCAGCCGGATCGACCAGGACGGCCTTGTACTTGCAGAAGATCTCGTGCAGCGTTCGCACATCGGCCGCCAGCTGTGGGAATAGCTTCGCCTATTACAGATGCTTCACTGTAGCCCAACCCCAACCCACACTTACCTCCTCCTTGCTGACACAGTTGTCGCCGTTGTTGGCATTGTTCTCCAGATTGTTGCAGTGCTCCGCAACGGAGAAGAGCGCACAGCCCGTGGGATCCAAGGGTATGCACCATTGTATGGCATTCAGCAGAAACAGCTCCGACCAGGACTCCTCCAGCAATATGACCTGATCCCGAAACGATAGCCGGGCAAAGCTGGGCAAGTTCTTGGCCCACTTGACGGCCATGAAGAGCAGCCGGGCGCTCGTCTCGTACACCGTTTCGTGCTGATGCGCATACAGATTGGGCGACATGAACTGCGGCATTATGAAACTGGAGTCCGATCTGCTGCCCGTATTCGCATGCGGCTCCTCGTCGTTGGTCACGTCAATCGAATCATCTGCAAAGGGGTGGAGGAGATTAGATCCTTGGAAATTAGAGAATCCTCTTTGGAAGGATATTACCGCCCGCTTACCATCATTATCATTCTCCGGCGTCGGGCTGGCGGAGCTGATGGAGGATACGCTGCCGCCGGCATTGTTCTTGTCATTCGGTGCATCCGGCGCCGGGGAGCTGGGATCTATGCTGTGATTGCTGCTCGAATTGGTCGAATGGGAGACATTCCCGCTGCTAGCCAGGCCATAGCCGCCCGCCTTCTCCTTGGGCGAATGATGCAGTCCGGCGGCAGCGGCGGCGGCGGCATTGAACATGGGAAACCCGCTCGCATGGTTCATATGATTCGTGGCCAGCTGCATGGACGAGCTGAGATGATTGTGGTGCAGCAGACGTCCCGTCGGCAAGCTGCCCAGCGCTGTGCAGTAAATAAATATCTCATCAGTTTGTTTTTCTCTCACACACACACACAAGCCACACAAGTTAACTTACAGGGCGGCGGCAGCAGGCCGGAGCCGTAGCAGGGCGGTGACAGTAGCACGGGAGGTCTGCAAATTGGAGGATGCTGTGTCTGAGCTATGCAAATGACAGGCCGAGATGGGCAGAGGCAAAGGGGAAAGAGGACTTACCCGAAAACACCGACGGCTACGGCCGCTTCGCGCAGCGCTCGCCCGTGCTCCATCTCCCGCAGCGTCTCCGGCCGTATAGTGGCCGTGTTGCGTGGCTGTCGCTCATTTTGCACAGCTGTAATTGGAAAACAAAATGCAGAAGCGCACATATAAGTAAATCGCCGCACTTCTCTCAAAGCCAAAGGCACCGCCCAAATCCGTAATGAGGAAATGTCACAGTGACAAAATTGCTTGACGCCTCGTTTGAATTTTGCCAGCCAGCCAGCCAGCCAGCCAGCCAGTGTGGCAACACTGTTCGCGCGTGCCGACCTCTCTCTGTGCTTCTCACTCGTTGCACCGAACCACCCCTCCCCCACTCACGCCTTAGCCTGCGGGCGTTCATGGTAAATTGGTTTTGTGGTCACGTGCCGTTCACGCCCACAAATTGTTTTCCCATTTGTTTATGCAATTTTACCGCGACAACTCAATGGGATCGTGTACCACACCCAATCCCACCTATCTGGTAACTGTTGCCATTTTGCATATGCCTAGCATAATTTATGCTTCAATTAGTGTCGGAGGCGGGGCGTAACCATAATGAAGTGCGGCTATTGATTGAACAGTGTTATTAACAAGCGGCTGCGATTGATACGTGCCGTGAGAAAGAGGCCCAAACAATTGGTAGATAAGTTAAATCACAGCTTTAATTCGAGGGAAATTCGTTTAAGGACATGAAGACTTAAGAAAAGGCTTTATCGATAAACCATGTATTCGATAAATATCGATTTTTAGCAAATGTTTCTATATCTCGCAGTTTAAAGCCACACAATTGCCACAACTGATTGCATTATTAAGGTTAAGCAGAAAGTCGGCAATAGAATAATCAAGAGAAACTCTGACAGCTAGTTAGTTACTCTCCGCTGCGCCCATCAGAGCCCGAATGCAAGTACGTTAGATATTTATAAACTTGCCCAAGTCTGATGCGACCAAAAGATGAAATTGTTTATTCAACTGCTGCGAAGCTGCTTAAACAAACTGTCAAAGACAACAGCAGCAGGTAACAAATCAATTGACTGAACAATATGTAAATAAAGTGCAACCCCAACCCCGACAATCCGCAACCCGCAACCCGCAATTCTCGAGCCGCGTCACCCACTTTTGGGAGTTGAACGAGCAACCCCCAAAACGCGGCCTTTCCAAATATTGTGGCTGTTCATTCGCTGCTGTCGGACTGCGTGGGAAAGGGTTAACGGGTAGATAAACTCTATTAGTACAAATAGAGAGAGATATTTGCATTAGGCGCTCTGCACGTGTCGCCAGGTTTTTGAGGTCATGTTAAAGAGCAATTAAATGTGCTTCAGTTCATTAGAGCGCTTGCCAGATTATGCATATCGCTCAGTTGGACTTAATACTAGTGTGTTTATAGGGTATATCCATAAACAACTATTTATTTGCACTGATTGATTGACTGACTGATTGATGCACAGCACAAAAGTGCTAGACAGCTTTTCACAGTAGTCGCTTCTTTCCATTTCTCATCCAAGCAACTAGTATTTTTATAGGGAATATCTATTAAGAGCTCTTTATTTGCACTGATTGATTGACTGACTGATTGATGTACAGCACAAAAGTGCTAAACAGCTCTTCACAGTAGTCGCTTCTTTTCATTTCTCATCCACGCAACTAGAGTGTTTATAGGGTATATCCATTTACAACACTTTATTTGCACTGATTGATTGACTGACTGATTGATGATGTGCGCACAGCACAATATGTAAGCGCTAGGCAGCTGAAATTATTTACAGAAGTCGCTTCATTACATTTCTTATCCAAGCAGCTGGTGTGTTTATAGGGTATATCCATTAACAGCTCTTTATTTGCACAGATTGATTTACTGACTGATTGATGCACAACACAAAAGTGCTAAACAGCTCTTCACAGTAATCGCTTCTTTCTATTTCGCATCCAAGCAACTAGAGTGTTTATATGGTATATCCATTAACAATTCTTTATTTGTACTGATTGATTGACTGACTGATTGATGATGTGCGCACAGCACAAAATGTAAGCGCTAGGCAGCTGAAATTATTCACATTTGTCTCTTATTGTGAAGGAAGACGCTATTTTTGTAACATTCGACCTGCTAATGTGGGAAATTGGTAGAAACCGATAATTAATAATTATTTGCACTGATTGATTGAATGCCTGATTGATGGGCTTCCAGCTCCTAGTAGGGAAAATTGGTGAAAAAGTGTTATATGAAACTTTGATTGTGCCTCAGTCAAACAGCTTAAGTGATTTTCTAGGGTATATTCATGAACAACTCGTTATTTGTACTGACTGATTGACTCATTGATTGACTGACGATGTAACCAAGCTCTTAGCTGAAATCATTCAGTGCTAGTCTCTGTACTTTCAATCTTTTAGGGTATATCCATAAGTAATTATTTATTTAAACTGATTGATTGATGTAATTCCACCTGTTAGAGTGAAAAAAAAGTGAAAAGCTGTGGCATAAAGCTTTGATAGCATGCCGCGCATGAGACAACCTTTATATACTCCTTGAGAATATATATGAAATCAGGATTGACACTTGTTTGTTTGGAAATCAGTAGCATGTTAAAGTTGGCTTAGTTTAACATTTTCTTTAGAGTAAATTAAAAAAAAAACAAATACCAAACTTAAATATTATTAAAATTTAACACAAAATGAATGATCAACTTAACGAATTCGATGCCGTGATGGAGCAGATTGGTAAATAATTTTGCATGCTTCAATTTGATTAGATACGAAAATTGATGTCAGATGCAAACTTGGTCAGGTTTTGGGAAGGTTCATTGTTACGTGATGCTCACGTTGGGCCTGCTGCAAATGTTAACCATACACGAGACCATGGGCATGGGCATCATTGCGACGTCTGCCGTTTGCGATTTACGCATGAATATTGTGCAGGTGTCGGCACTAACGGCGGCAGCATTTTTGGGCATTATCTGCTCGTCCTATTTCTGGGGCTATATCACGGACAAGATGGGTCGTCGCTGGATTCTATTGCACACCATTTCGATTAGTAATATCTGTTCGATAATATCCATGTTTATGGTCAGCTTTACGAGCTTCTTTGTGATGCGCTTTCTGACGGGCATCTTGTGAGTAGAATTTGTCGCATTCCCAATATGTTTTGATTTGATTTGATTTTCCTGCTTGCATGCTCCACATGAAGTGTGGCCGGGCCGAGCTTTGTGGCTGTCACGTATCTGAGCGAGTTTTGCAATAAACAAATTCTGGCCCGTACTGTCACCCACATGTACATGTTTACGGGCTTTGCGATGTTCTATTGCCCGTCGTGGGCTACCCTATTTCTGGCTTCCAATTTTATGGACTTTGAAATCGGTTTCATCGGCAGGCTAACCCTTCGTCCCTGGCGTCTGCTCGGCTGTATGTTTATGCTGCCCGGCTTGATCGCCTTCTTCTTACTCCTACGCATGCCGGAGAGTCCAAAGTTTTTGTTTATGGTCGGAGAAACAAAGCGGGGCATGGCGGTTATGGATTGGATCAGCACCAAGAACACGGGCCATCCGCTCAGTCCCGAGCAGGTTGAGCTGATGCGCAAATTCCAGGAATCCACGGAGGTCATCCGACAAAAACGCTCGAATAACTTTCTGCAGCAAATGATGAGCGATGCCATGCCCCTGTTTCGTAAGCCCTATGTCGGCTTCTACGTGGGCAGCTGTTACGTAATGTTTAGCCTGGGCCTGGTGTAAATTTTCAACGAATTTTCCTCCACACATTTTTACGCCATTTAATGCATGACTTTTGCAGTGCGCACGGCTTCGGCATTTGGTTCACGGCAATGCGAAATCGTTCCAACATGCGTCCCGATAAGAAGGCTGACATGACACTGTGTAAGATACTTTTTAGCAGCGCGGCCAAGATCGAGGACAGCGAGCCCGATCTGATTGTCGTAAGTAGATGGATTCGCTCCGATGTCTCTCTCTCTCGCTCCCTCTCTCTCTCTCTCTCGCTCTCTCTCTCTTTCTCTCCCTCTCTCTCCCTCTCTATAGTAAAAAGTTTTTCTGCAGGCATGCAACGATAGCTTTATTGGCTTTAAGGACTCTGTCGCATTGGGCCTTACTTATATTATTCTGTACAATGTTTGCTGGCTGATGCTTTTCTTTTTGCCGCGCAAGGCATTGTTCATTGCCGCCCTGGTCATCTCCTCCTCGTGCGGCTTTGCCCTGATCTTTGTCACCGGCCGTTGGGTGCAGCTGTTTGCCTTCGTCCTATTCATCGCCTTGCCGGGCGTCGTCATCAGCCTGTTGGGCGGCGCACTCCTTCAGTTTGTGCCCACGCATATGCGAGCCAAGGCCCTTTGCATCAGCCTAATGTGGTGTCGCTGGGGCGCAGTTGTCGGCACAACTATCGTTGGCATCTACATTGAGGAGAGCTGCGAGATGACCATTCTGGTGATTGCCATCTTCCCGATGCGTAGGCTACTCTCATTAATATTCGTATTAAGCCCTAATAGATTTTCGTTTTAGTTTCGGCTAGCATCAAGGGCTTCTTACCTCTCTAGATGGACTATGGCCGTAGCTTCTAAATTATGGTTTTTATTTAAATTGCTTGGATTTGAACTAAATAAAGGCTGGGCAAGCCCAACGACTCGCTGCCTTTAAGCGACAATGTCTGAAGTCTTAAGAGCAGCTGCATTAGCTTTTAGCTAATGTTGTAGACGATAAACGACACACTTTGTTGTTTTAAAAAAGTTAGTTGAACTCGTTTTATTTTTTAATATTTGTTTTTAAAAAAAGACTAGTGAGGGTTTTCGCAATTCCACCTCTTAGGGTGGAAAATTTGTGAGAAATTGTCGTTCGGCACTTTGATAGTTCCCATCCATAAATAAATATTCATTTGCACTAAACTCTTAGCTGAAATCATTCACAGTAGTCTTCTATTGTGATGCAAGTGAGAGTTTTTGCAAATCCACCTAGTGTGAAAAATTCGTAGGAAATTGTCGTATGGAACTTGCGATTTGCACTGATTGATTGATTGATCGTCTGCTCTAACTGTTAGGTAGAATCATTCACATTTGGAAATTCCACCTGCCAAAGTGGAATGTTGGTGAAAAAGTGTTGTGTAAAACATTGATTGGTTCTCAGACAAGCATCGAGTGTTTTAATAGTATATCCATAGCTTAGTATTTATTTGCACTGATTGATTGACTGATTGATTGATGTTCTGCTTAAACTCTTAGCTGAAATCATTCACAGTAGTCTTCTATTGTGATGCAAGTGAGAGTTTTTGCAAATCCACCTAGTGTGAAAAATTCGTAGGAAATTGTCGTATGGAACTTGCGATTTGCACTGATTGATTGATTGATGGTCTGCTCTAACTGTTAGCTAGAATCATTCATATTTGGAAATTCCACCTGCCAAAGTGGAAAATTGGCGAAAAAGTGTTGTGTAAAACATTGATTGGTTCTCAGACAAGCATCGAGTATTTTTACAGGGTATATCCATTAACAACTCTTTATTTGCACTGATTGATTGAATGACTGATTGATGATGTGCGTACAGCACAAAATGTAAGCGCTAGGTAGCTGAAATTATTCACATTTGTCTCTTATTGTGAAGGAAGACGCTATTTTTGTAACATTCGACCTGCTAATGTGGGAAATTGGTAGAAACCGATAATTAATAATTATTTGCACTGATTGATTGAATGCCTGATTGATGGGCTTCCAGCTCCTAGTAGGGAAAATTGGTGAAAAAGTGTTATATGAAACTTTGATTGTGCCTCAGTCAAACAGCTTAAGTGATTTTCTAGGGTATATTCATGAACAACTCGTTATTTGTACTGATTGATTGACTCATTGATTGACTGACGATGTAACCAAGCTCTTAGCTGAAATCATTCAGTGCTAGTCTCTGTACTTTCAATCTTTTAGGGTATATCCATAAGTAATTATTTATTTAAACTGATTGATTGATGTAATTCCACCTGTTAGAGTGAAAAAAAAGTGAAAAGCTGTGGCATAAAGCTTTGATAGCATGCCGCGCATGAGACAACCTTTGTATACTCTTTGAGAATATAATAAATCAGGATTGACACTTGTTTTTTTTTTTTTGGAAACACAGATCAGTAGCATGTTAAAGTTGGCTTAGTCTTTAACATTTTCTTTAGAGTAAATTAAAAAAAAAAAAAAAAAAAAAAATACACAAAATGAATAATCAGCTAAACGAATTCGATGCCGTGATGGAGCAGATCGGTAAATAATTTTGCACGCTTCAATTTGATTAGATACGAAAATTGATGTCAGATGCAAACTTGGTCAGGTTTTGGGAAGGTTCATTGTTACGTGATGCTCACGTTGGGCCTGCTGCAAATGTTAACCATACACGAGACCATGGGCATGGGCATCATTGCGCCGGCTGCCGTGTGCGATTTACGCATGAGTATTGTGCAGGTGTCGACAATAACGGCGGCAGCATTTTTGGGCATTATCTGCTCGTCCTATTTCTGGGGCTATATCACGGACAAGATGGGTCGTCGCTGGATTCTATTGCACACCATTTCGATTAGTAATATCTGTTCGATAATATCCATGTTTATGGTCAGCTTTACGAGCTTCTTTGTGATGCGCTTTCTGACGGGCATCTTGTGAGTAGAATTTGTCGCATTCCCAATATGTTTTGATTTGATTTGATTTTCCTGCTTGCATGCTCCACATGAAGTGTGGCCGGGCCGAGCTTTGTGGCTGTCACGTATCTGAGCGAGTTTTGCAATAAACAAATTCTGGCCCGTACTGTCACCCACATGTACATGTTTACGGGCTTTGCGATGTTCTATTGCCCGTCGTGGGCTACCCTATTTCTGGCTTCCAATTTTATGGACTTTGAAATCGGTTTCATCGGCAGGCTAACCCTTCGTCCCTGGCGTCTGCTCGGCTGTATGTTTATGCTGCCCGGCTTGATCGCCTTCTTCTTACTCCTACGCATGCCGGAGAGTCCAAAGTTTTTGTTTATGGTCGGAGAAACAAAGCGGGGCATGGCGGTTATGGATTGGATCAGCACCAAGAACACGGGCCATCCGCTCAGTCCCGAGCAGGTTGAGCTGATGCGCAAATTCCAGGAATCCACGGAGGTCATCCGACAAAAACGCTCGAATAACTTTCTGCAGCAAATGATGAGCGATGCCATGCCCCTGTTTCGTAAGCCCTATGTCGGCTTCTACGTGGGCAGCTGTTCCGTAATGTTTAGCCTGGGCCTGGTGTAAATTTTCAACGAATTTTCCTTCACACATTTTTACGCGATTTAATGCATGACTTTTGCAGTGCGAACGGCTTTGGCATTTGGTTCACGGCAATGCGAAATCGTTCCAACATGCGTCTCGATAACAAGGCTGACATGACACTGTGTAAGATACTTTTTAGCACCGCGGCCAAGATCGAGGACAGCGAGCCGGACCTGGTTGTCGTAAGTAGATGGATTCGCTCCGATGTCTCTCTCTCTCGCTCTCTCTCTCTCTCTCTCTCTCTCTCTATAGTAAATAGTTTTTCTGCAGGCATGCAACGATGGCTTTTTGGGTTTTAACGACTCTCTCGTATTGGGCCTTACTTATATTATTCTGTACAATGTTTGCTGGCTGATGCTTTTCTTTTTGCCGCGCAAGGCATTGTTCATTGCCGCCCTGGTCATCTCCTCCTCGTGCGGCTTTGCCCTGATCTTTGTCACCGGCCGTTGGGTGCAGCTGTTTGCCTTCGTCCTATTCATCGCCTTGCCGGGCGTCGTCATCAGCCTGTTGGGCGGCGCACTCCTTCAGTTTGTGCCCACGCATATGCGAGCCAAGGCCCTTTGCATCAGCCTAATGTGGTGTCGCTGGGGCGCAGTTGTCGGCACAACTATCGTTGGCATCTACATTGAGGAGAGCTGCGAGATGACCATTCTGGTGATTGCCATCTTCCCGATGCGTAGGCTACTCTCATTAATATTCGTATTAAGCCCTAATAGATTTTCGTTTTAGTTTCGGCTAGCATCAAGGGCTTCTTACCTCTCTAGATGGACTATGGCCGTAGCTTCTAAATTATGGTTTTTATTTAAATTGCTTGGATTTGAACTAAATAAAGGCTGGGCAAGCCCAACGACTCGCTGCCTTTAAGCGACAATGTCTGAAGTCTTAAGAGCAGCTGCATTAGCTTTTAGCTAATGTTGTAGACGATAAACGACACACTTTGTTGTTTTAAAAAAGTTAGTTGAACTCGTTTTATTTTTTAATATTTGTTTTTAAAAAAAGACTAGTGAGGGTTTTCGCAATTCCACCTCTTAGGGTGGAAAATTTGTGAGAAATTGTCGTTCGGCACTTTGATAGTTCCCATCCATAAATAAATATTCATTTGCACTAAACTCTTAGCTGAAATCATTCACAGTAGTCTTCTATTGTGATGCAAGTGAGAGTTTTTGCAAATCCACCTAGTGTGAAAAATTCGTAGGAAATTGTCGTATGGAACTTGCGATTTGCACTGATTGATTGATTGATCGTCTGCTCTAACTGTTAGGTAGAATCATTCACATTTGGAAATTCCACCTGCCAAAGTGGAATATTGGTGAAAAAGTGTTGTGTAAAACATTGATTGGTTCTCAGACAAGCATCGAGTGTTTTAATAGTATATCCATAGCTTAGTATTTATTTGCACTGATTGATTGACTGATTGATTGATGTTCTGCTTAAACTCTTAGCTGAAATCGTTCACAGTAGTCGTCTATTGTGACGGGCAAGTGAGGGCTTAGTGTTGTTTAAAGCAGGTTTCTCATCCAATCATCGAGTGTTTTATTAGGTATATCCATAAAATAATTAACATGCACTGATTGATTGAATGCCTGAATGCCTGCTATGGTAGAAGATTGGTAAAAAGCTCTTTCATGAAACTTTGATTGTCTCTAAGCCAAACAACCTCAAACCAATTTTAATAGTTCTTTATAAGGATTCGAATCACCTCACGATTTTCACACTGTTTGGGAAATCCAGCTGTCTGGGCGGAAAATGTTTAAGCGGGGTTGGGTAGAGTACAAAGAGTAGATGTTGGTCTGGCAAAGCCTGGTAATGCTCGAAAGTAAATATATATTTATACATACCATCCTTGTTCATTCCCATTTGAAGGCACTTCTTGAGCCTGCAGGCCTGGCATTGATTCCGATGGGCCTTGTCGACAATGCAACGTCCGGTGCCCGCTTGGCAGCTGCAATCAAAAGAACATTTTTATCAAGTTGAATTTAACCCCTCGCGATAATTAAGTTATGCGCCTTCTGACCAGATTTGTCGTGTCAAAAATTGCAACATTTGTCAACATTTGCGACGGCAAGCGAAGCGTACTCGAGTATCTACAGGCTATACGGAAAGTATCTCAACAGCTGAGCGTATCTATTGGGCCTTTGTTCTGGCACTTGTGGCATTTTAATCAAATCACGTTGTCTGTCTGCGTCTGACTGAATCATTGTCCACCCCTCCATACCTCCACCCCTCCGCCTCTCTCGTACAATCTCGCCCCTCTCCCACTGCTAAGCCGCTGCCACTTCAGCTTAGTCAGCCTGGTCGTCATCGTTCTGCATCTCTGTCGCACTCGCACAGCCTGTGTGCTGCATCCTTGTCGCACTCTAAGCCTGTGCCAAAACTCAAAGCACAAAATGGCAAAGGTTCTGGGCTGTGAGGCGTCTTCTGCCTGACCCTCCCTCCGCTCCTCGACAAATATCTCTCGCTTTTTATGTGTTTTGTGGCGCCGCAGCTGAAGTTTGACTAACTAACAAAGCACTTAGCTAAATGTATCTTTCAGATACACACAGTCCACACCACTTTGTGTTTATGTGTGCGTGTGTGTGTGTGTGTGTGTGTGTGTGTGTGTGCACCCACTATTTGTGTATCTAATATGCAAATGCTTCGCTTTCGAAAACAAATCACGTAGATTGAAAGCGGCGCTGTGGGCCGCTTCGAGTCGTTTATTTCTGTTTTGCAGACAATAAAAACAAATATAAATAAATCTATTATCAGCTTGTTTTTTTTCGGCTTAAGAGAATAAAGTCCAAAATTTATGCACAATCTTTAGCCGATCTCCAAGTGGACATGGATCCAAATCTAAAGACTTCCATATAACTTTGTCAAAACTAGCCCCAATTTTGAAGATGAATGTTTTAATTACAATTTAAATAAAAAAAAAATTATGAAAATTAACAAAATTAATATTAATAATTATATAATTATTAATGCTGCAATTTCTGCTTCAAATTCAAGTAAAATTAAATTATTAAATAAAATAAAAATTCCAAATAGACACGGCCAACATTTGGGTCAACATTATTCCCAAAACTGATCTGGCACCTGCATTTAATATTTTCATTTTTATCATGCAAAAAATGTGTTTGGTATATTTTGGATTTTCAGCTAGGGAATGGCACTTTTTTTTGGTTGAAAAGATGGCAAAGAGTTAAAATATTTTAAATGGCAAAATAAGGAGATTTCGAATAGGATTTTTTTGGAAATCAATTCCAAAACTAAAGAGTTTAATATTCATTTTTTTGATTCCTACTTCCTGCGTTCCAGCTTCTGTTCCGTTAAGGCTAACAAAATAAAACTTAAGGTAGAATCGAAGTCGAATATAGATACAAAACATGCGCTCTGGGAACGAGCTCAGCCTGTGTAGAAGTCCAGTGCAATAGAAATATAAACTATTTAATTATTTATGCGCACAAGTGTAAACTTTTACGCCCCGCCAAAGCCTTACGTGACAAGCGCAACAGACTTGGATATTTGGTCAATTTCAATGCAGTATTACAACTAGAAAAGTTTGGAACTGATTTCAATTGATTAGTTTACAAATTGTTGCTCATGCATTATTCACAATTTACCCAACTAATCACGACATTTGGCCAAAATTATAAAAGCCCTAAAAGGCAGCAATTGGGCAGGCTTTGTTTTATTATCCAATTGACAGCAGCTCCTGCGCCAAGCATGGCTTTGCGTCGAATCTTTCCGAGCATGTACACGCTGCCGGACACGGCGCCAGCTAAGTCAAGGAATGCGACGCGCTATTTGCTGCGCTGCATTTTCCTAATGGGCATTAGAACGCCGCCGAAAGGAAATCGCTTTGTTGTATACATACTGTGGTCTTTTGTGCTCAACCTGTGCTCCACTTTCTATCAGCCTTTCGGCTTTATGGTGGGCTACATCTCTCACATAGCGGAGCTATCGCCGGGCGAGCTGCTCACCTCGCTGCAGGTGGCCGTCAACGCCTTGAGCTGTTCCATCAAGGTGGTTATTGTCTGGATGCTGGCCAAGCGCTTCGATCAGGCCAATCTCACACTGGACGAGATGGACAAGCGAGTGCTGCAGCCCAGCGAGCGCAGCAAGGTGCATCGCGCGGTGTCCATCAGCAATCGCATCCTCCTCAGCTACATGACCGTCTACATGTTCTGTGTGACGTGCCTTTTCTTGAGCGGCTTGGTCATGGGTGTGCCCATGTTCCAGAACTATTATCCCGGCCTGAACTGGCGTGCCGGACGGCTTCAGTTCTGGATTCAATCATTTCTGGAGTACTTATCCTTGTTGGGCGCTTCCTTTCAGAATGTCTGCGTCGACTGCTATCCCATTAACTACGTGCTGATATTGCGTGCCCATCTGGCCAACTTTGCGGAGAGGCTACGGAGACTGGGCCAGGATGCGGACGAGACACCGGAGCAGCGCTATGAAAAGCTCGTCGAGTGCATTCAGGACCACAAGGTTATGCTACGGTGGGACTCAACTTGGATTAACTGAAGATATTTCTTGTACATGGATTCGTTTTGCAGCTGCTGCGATACTTTGCGTCCTGTGATCTCGGGCACAATCTTTGTGCAGCTTCTGGTTGTGGGTCTCGTGTTGGGTCTTACCCTCATCAACATCGTGTTGTTTGCCAACTTCGGGTCCCGCATTGCGGCTCTCACATTTCTGACAGCCGTGCTGCTGGAGACAACGCCCTTCTGCATACTCTGTAACTATTTGGCCGATGATTGCTCAAAACTGGCGGATGCTCTGTTTGAGTCCAATTGGATCTATCAGGATCAGCGTTACAAGAAAACAGTGCTACAGTTTTTGCAAAGGTTGCAGAAGCCAATTGTTTTCATGGCCGGCAACTTTTTCACCATCTCCGTGGCAACCAATCTGAATGTAAGTTTAAATGAGATCTGTCAGATCTTATTTATCTCTTTAGCTAAGAGTTCTCTATATTTTGGCTGCACTTCTGATTCACTTCACTTTATACGAAATAAGTTATGCATTTTATAAATTAAATTGAATTCATAATTCAAATCTTGCAGGCTACCAAATTCTCATTCTCTGTCTTTACGCTGATCAAACAAATGAATATAGCTGAGAAGTTGGCCAGGCCAAGAGGAGTCGAATATAACTGATTAAAGGAATATACATATTTTTTTAATGTCAATTAAATAAATTGAACAATAACCCAAACCTCGTAAAAATCGGATGAGATTTGACCGAGTTACAGGGGTGGAAAATTTCGACCTATGTCTATACATATGGGATATAAACATATTGTATATATGGGATATATATATGGGATATTTGAGGGTACCATTTTAACATGAATTTTGACTAAAATTCGTGAAAATCGGATGGGATTTGACCGAGTTACAGGGGTGTGAAATTTTGACCTATGTCTACATAAGTATATGGGATATTTGAGGGTAGCCTATGTAACATGAATTTGGACTAAAATTGAGGTTGCCCCATTTTGATACAAATTTAATCTTAGGGTCAAACCGTGAAGAAAAAGCCAAACCTCGTGAAAATCGGATGGGATTTGACCGAGTTACAGGGGTGTGAAATTTCGACCTATGTCTACATAAGTAGATGGGATATTTTAGGGTACCCTATGAACATGAATTTGGACTAAAATTGAGGTTGCCCCATTTTGATACAAATTTAATCTTAGGGTCAAGCCGTGAAGAAAAAGCCAAACCTCGTGAAAATCGGATGGGATTTGACCGAGTTACAGGGGTGTGAAATTTTGACCTATGTCTACATAAGTATATGGGATATTTGAGGGTACCCTATGTGACATGAATTTGGACTAAAATTGAGGTTGCCCCATTTTGATACAAATTTAATCTTAGGGTCAAACCGTGAAGAAAGAGCCAAACCTCGTGATAATCGGATGGGATTTGACCGAGTTACAGGGGTGGGAAATTTCGACCTATGTCTACATAAGGATATGGGATATTTGAGGGTACCCTATGTAACATGAATTTGGACTAAAATTGAGGTTGCCCCATTTTGATACAAATTTAATCTTAGGGTCAAACCGTGAAGAGAAAGCCAAACCTCGTGAAAATCGGATGGGATTTGACCGAGTCTACATAAGTAGATGGGATATTTGAGGGTACCCTTTGTAACATGAATTTGGACTAAAATTAAGGTTGCCCTATTTTGATACAAATTTAATCTTAGGGTCAAACCGTGAAGAAAAAGCCAAACCTCGTGAAAATCGGATGGGATTTGACCGAGTTACAGGGGTGTGAAATTTTGACCTATGTCTACATAAGTATATGGGATATTTGAGGGTACCCTTTGTAACATGAATTTGGACTAAAATTAAGGTTGCCCTATTTTGATACAAATTTAATCTTAGGGTCAAACCGTGAAGAAAAAGCCAAACCTCGTGAAAATCGGATGGGATTTGACCGAGTTACAGGGGTGTGAAATTTTGACCTATGTCTACATAAGTATATGGGATATTTGAGGGTACCCTTTGTAACATGAATTTGGACTAAAATTAAGGTTGCCCTATTTTGATACAAATTTAATCTTAGGGTCAAACCGTGAAGAAAAAGCCAAACCTCGTGAAAATCGGATGGGATTTGACCGAGTTACAGGGGTGTGAAATTTTGACCTATGTCTACATAAGTATATGGGATATTTGAGGGTAGCCTATGTAACATGAATTTGGACTAAAATTAAGGTTGCCCTATTTTGATACAAATTTAATCTTAGGGTCAAACCGTGAAGAAAACGCCAAACCTCGTGAAAATCGGATGGGATTTGACCGAGTTACAGGGGTGTGAAATTTTGACCTATGTCTACATAAGGATATGGGATATTTGAGGGTACCCTATGTAACATGAATTTGGACTAAAATTGAGGTTGCCCCATTTTGATACAAATTTAATCTTAGGGTCAAACCGTGAAGAAAAAGCCAAACCTCGTGAAAATCGGATGGGATTTGACCGAGTTACAGGGGTGTGAAATTTCGACCTATGTCTACATAAGTAGATGGGATATTTTAGGGTACCCTATGAACATGAATTTGGACTAAAATTGAGGTTGCCCCATTTTGATACAAATTTAATCTTAGGGTCAAACCGTGAAGAAAGAGCCAAACCTCGTGATAATCGGATGGGATTTGACCGAGTTACAGGGGTGGGAAATTTCGACCTATGTCTACATAAGGATATGGGATATTTGAGGGTACCCTATGTAACATGAATTTGGACTAAAATTGAGGTTGCCCCATTTTGATACAAATTTAATCTTAGGGTCAAACCGTGAAGAGAAAGCCAAACCTCGTGAAAATCGGATGGGATTTGACCGAGTTACAGGGGTGTGAAATTTTGACCTATGTCTACATAAGTAGATGGGATATTTGAGGGTACCCTTTGTAACATGAATTTGGACTAAAATTAAGGTTGCCCTATTTTGATACAAATTTAATCTTAGGGTCAAACCGTGAAGAAAAAGCCAAACCTCGTGAAAATCGGATGGGATTTGACCGAGTTACAGGGGTGTGAAATTTTGACCTATGTCTACATAAGTATATGGGATATTTGAGGGTACCCTTTGTAACATGAATTTGGACTAAAATTAAGGTTGCCCTATTTTGATACAAATTTAATCTTAGAGTCAAACCGTGAAGAAAAAGCCAAACCTCGTGAAAATCGGATGGGATTTGACCGAGTTACAGGGGTGTGAAATTTCGACCTATGTCTACATATATGGGATATTTGAGGGTACCCTATGAACATGAATTTGGACTAAAATTAAGGTTGCCCTATTTTGATACAAATTTAATCTTAGGGTCAAACCGTGAAGAAAAAGCCAAACCTCGTGAAAATCGGATGGGATTTGACCGAGTTACAGGGGTGTGAAATTTTGACCTATGTCTACATAAGTATATGGGATATTTGAGGGTACCCTTTGTAACATGAATTTGGACTAAAATTAAGGTTGCCCTATTTTGATACAAATTTAATCTTAGGGTCAAACCGTGAAGAAAAAGCCAAACCTCGTGAAAATCGGATGGGATTTGACCGAGTTACAGGGGTGTGAAATTTCGACCTATGTCTACATAAGTAGATGGGATATTTTAGGGTACCCTATGAACATGAATTTGGACTAAAATTGAGGTTGCCCCATTTTGATAAAAATTTAATCTTAGGGTCAAACCGTGAAGAAAGAGCCAAACCTCGTGATAATCGGATGGGATTTGACCGAGTTACAGGGGTGTGAAATTTTGACCTATGTCTACATAAGTATATGGGATATTTGAGGGTACCCTATGTGACATGAATTTGGACTAAAATTGAGGTTGCCCCATTTTGATACAAATTTAATCTTAGGGTCAAACCGTGAAGAAAGAGCCAAACCTCGTGATAATCGGATGGGATTTGACCGAGTTACAGGGGTGGGAAATTTCGACCTATGTCTACATAAGGATATGGGATATTTGAGGGTACCCTATGTAACATGAATTTGGACTAAAATTGAGGTTGCCCCATTTTGATACAAATTTAATCTTAGGGTCAAACCGTGAAGAGAAAGCCAAACCTCGTGAAAATCGGATGGGATTTGACCGAGTTACAGGGGTGTGAAATTTTGACCTATGTCTACATAAGTAGATGGGATATTTGAGGGTACCCTTTGTAACATGAATTTGGACTAAAATTAAGGTTGCCCTATTTTGATACAAATTTAATCTTAGGGTCAAACCGTGAAGAAAAAGCCAAACCTCGTGAAAATCGGATGGGATTTGACCGAGTTACAGGGGTGTGAAATTTTGACCTATGTCTACATAAGTATATGGGATATTTGAGGGTACCCTTTGTAACATGAATTTGGACTAAAATTAAGGTTGCCCTATTTTGATACAAATTTAATCTTAGAGTCAAACCGTGAAGAAAAAGCCAAACCTCGTGAAAATCGGATGGGATTTGACCGAGTTACAGGGGTGTGAAATTTCGACCTATGTCTACATATATGGGATATTTGAGGGTACCCTATGAACATGAATTTGGACTAAAATTAAGGTTGCCCTATTTTGATACAAATTTAATCTTAGGGTCAAACCGTGAAGAAAAAGCCAAACCTCGTGAAAATCGGATGGGATTTGACCGAGTTACAGGGGTGTGAAATTTTGACCTATGTCTACATAAGTATATGGGATATTTGAGGGTACCCTTTGTAACATGAATTTGGACTAAAATTAAGGTTGCCCTATTTTGATACAAATTTAATCTTAGGGTCAAACCGTGAAGAAAAAGCCAAACCTCGTGAAAATCGGATGGGATTTGACCGAGTTACAGGGGTGTGAAATTTTGACCTATGTCTACATAAGTATATGGGATATTTGAGGGTACCCTTTGTAACATGAATTTGGACTAAAATTAAGGTTGCCCTATTTTGATACAAATTTAATCTTAGGGTCAAACCGTGAAGAAAAAGCCAAACCTCGTGAAAATCGGATGGGATTTGACCGAGTTACAGGGGTGTGAAATTTTGACCTATGTCTACATAAGTAGATGGGATATTTGAGGGTACCCTTTGTAACATGAATTTGGACTAAAATTAAGGTTGCCCTATTTTGATACAAATTTAATCTTAGGGTCAAACCGTGAAGAAAAAGCCAAACCTCGTGAAAATCGGATGGGATTTGACCGAGTTACAGGGGTGTGAAATTTTGACCTATGTCTACATAAGTATATGGGATATTTGAGGGTACCCTTTGTAACATGAATTTGGACTAAAATTAAGGTTGCCCTATTTTGATACAAATTTAATCTTAGAGTCAAACCGTGAAGAGAAAGCCAAACCTCGTGAAAATCGGATGGGATTTGACCGAGTTACAGGGGTGTGAAATTTTGACCTATGTCTACATAAGTAGATGGGATATTTGAGGGTACCCTTTGTAACATGAATTTGGACTAAAATTAAGGTTGCCCTATTTTGATACAAATTTAATCTTAGGGTCAAACCGTGAAGAAAAAGCCAAACCTCGTGAAAATCGGATGGGATTTGACCGAGTTACAGGGGTGTGAAATTTTGACCTATGTCTACATAAGTATATGGGATATTTGAGGGTACCCTTTGTAACATGAATTTGGACTAAAATTAAGGTTGC